GGTGCAATTGCCCTTCTTCAGGCATAGAGAATGAAGTGAAGTTTGTAGGCTCATCTACAAAAGGTGTTTTGCAAGTTCCCTTTGAGGGTTAGAACTGAGAGATCATGCAGGGATCCAGGTTTTCTGTTTCCCGTGGAAAAACAGAGAAAACCATGGATTTCCCATTTTTATCAGAGAAAACATGGATTTTCCCTTTTAGAAGAGAAATCCATGGATTTCACCCTTTTGCAAAGAGCTCTGCAGGCTGGTTGAGTTCCAGCCTACAAAAACTGTTTGCAAAAGGGCCAGGGAAACCCTCAACTCTGTCAGGGGGAGGGAGAGGGGGAAGGGCGGGGCCCAACACTTGCACTTACCTGAGGCTGCTTCAGGCTCACTCTTCTTGCTGCAGGTAACTGGGGCTTGGGGGTTGCAAGGCAGGGCTGAAGGGACGGGGGTGGGGAAGCTGGCTAGGGGCTGAGGGAGTGGGAAGGTTTGCAGCCAGCTGGCCAGTCTGGCCCGGAGGGGGTTGGCAGCCTCCCTGCTCCTGGCCGGAGTGGCCGGCTGGCTGCAAACCTCCCTGTTACCTCAGCCCCCAGCCAGTTTGGATGCTCCCCTGCCGGGCACTGTAGCTGGGAAAGGGTTTGTGGCCTGCCTGCTCCCAGCCAGAGTGCTCGGCTGGCTGCAAACCCTCACCACTCCTGGCCAGCTGGAAGCCCCGCCTCCCGGCCAGAGAGTCTGGCTGGGGAGCGCCCAAGCTGGCTGGGGGCTGAGGAATGGGGAGGTTAGAAGCCATCCAGGCACTCCAGCCAGGAGAAGAGGGGTGGGGTTTGCAGCCTTCCCCACTCCCTCACCCCCAGCCAGCTTGGGCATTCTCTTGCTGGGGGGAGGGGGAGGCTTGCAGTCAGGCAGGCAGTCCGGCTGGGAGCGGGGAGCCTGCAAACCCCACCTCCCCTAGCTGGACTGCCCTGTCAGCTGCAAACCCTTGATCACAAATGCTGCACTCCCCACCCCGCTGCCCTCTCCCAGGCCCTCTGGAGCACAGTGTGTGCGGCTGGTGTGGCAGGGCACAGCAGGCCAAGCACGAAAGCTGCCTGCTGCTGCAAGCTCCGTGCTGCCCTGGCCACACTTCCTCTGTGTGCATGGAGGTAGTACACACCTGCTCTGCCCCCACCCCTCACACAGATCTGGGGGCTGTGGGTCCTCTCTGCCCCCTGGGAGCTGGCCGTGTCCCAGCCTGCAGCAGGCAGGCAGGAGGGGGGAAGCCAGCTCATGCTCCTGCTCGTGCTCCTTCTGTAGTATCCATTGCCTTCTGTTGGGGGCAGGGGACTGTGGACCTTGGTCCCTGGCCCCATAGCCCTGGCAGCTGGGGGCCCCCTCCAGCAGGGCTGGGGAGCAGGGGCTGTGGATGGGGGGCAAGGGGCACAAGCAGGGCTGGGGGGCTACAGACGGGGAGTGAGGGACGCCAACAGGGTTGTGGGGGGGCTGTGGGGGAGCATTTAATTTTAATCACAGATTTTGGGATTTTTATCAGAGAATTTGCAATTTTTTATCAGAGAATTTGTGATGTTTTATCATGGAAAACCAGGATGCCTGGAGATCAGAGAGGGAGCAATTGTCTTATGAGAAGTGTGCCCCCATCCATAGTTGGGTATTAGTAGGTCTAAGGAAATTATGTACCTTGAATAATCATCCCAGGGTCAAGCACCTAATATTTAGATATTGGAGGTTCCTATAGTGCCTTTCTGGATCATTCCCTAAAAGGCTAATTTAATTTACATTAATGGACATCCATAATGATATAAAATATTATGGAAAAACAAATGATAGGGTAGTGACTGTCTTTTTCATTTATATAAGGGTCTTTAAAATAGCACCCATCATGATCTTGTATAAGAAAAACAGAAACTTGCTAGCAAGTGGACTCACCTTGAATATATAAATCCAGTAACCATTCCCAGACACCATTCCTTCAACTATGGTACAAATCATGCTTCAGAAAGGACTTCACATGTAGGCCTTTCCTGAAATTCTTTTTAAATTTTATCTGGTTTTGGACCTGAAGAATAAACACCACATACCACACTATAGGTCAAACAGTGGTAATTTTCCAAAGAAATTTTTTAGTTTAGTGCCTCTATAAATCCATGTAAAAGGAAAAAAAACTATTATAGAGTAACAAGTATAACATACCATAAGAAAGCAGCAGGACTGTGTAAGTATTAATAATAACGCAAGTAAACTTCTTCACAAGCTATGCTGTTCAGTTGAGTTAAGGGATACTGGAAAATGTTGGACCAAGACCAAACAGCTGTTTTCTTTTTCATCTTGCAAAAATAGAGTTTAGCCTGCAAGTAACATTTCCAGAGATATATGGAAAGGAAAGTCAGTACAGCTGGGAAAGTACAGGCCATTTAAAGGCAGTAGTTTCAGAGCCATTAGAAAAACAAATCTGTTCACTGCCCGCCCTTCTAATGACCAAAAAAGCCAAACTCAGATCTCAGACAGTGCATGAGAACAGGCTCAGGAAAATGTGTCTTCAAAGGATGGTAAATATAATTATTATCAACTTCAAATACATTGAAAGAAGAACCTTACCTTGTCATACCAAATCAAATCTTTTATGAGACATGCTGACATGTCTCATGAAGCCAAAGAGGAAAAGAACCCAAGCAGATAAAGACATTAACTGCATCAACCCACTTGTGTAATAACGGATAGCAGAGGGCATCTCCATTTCTAGGCTCCTTCTCAGCAAATTGGGGTTTGTACTCACATTTCCAACTTCCCAGCAAAGAATTCTATGGCTGCCATGCCATGGGGTAGGTATTGCTGAGCACAGCCTACTGTTGAAGCTGGCCTATTAGAATATATGTAGGTCAGAAAGTAAAGCAGATAACAGCTACCTAGGTCTGTGGCTCAGTAAGAGAGTGAGGCAACAAGGCAGGAGTCCTGTAGCTGTTCCTACTGCTGTCTCTCCATTTTGCATGAAATAATTGTTGGTTTAAATACAGAAACACCAGGGGCCAGGCCAGAACTCACAGTACGCCCTTTCCAGGTTAGTGGCAAGCTTACTGGGCCCCAGGGCCACATTCCAGCTAACTTGCTCTCCTGCTGGCTGCTCAGTGGCTCAGTTTTAGGATGAGACTAGCCCCTAACCTAGTGGTCTAAGAGCTTGTCTAGGAAGTAAGAGATACAGGTTCAAGCTACCCTTTGGTTGAGGGGGCATTTAAGAACCTGACTCTCACTCACTCTCAATAGGCATGACCTATAGGCTACCAGCCTAAAAGGATTCACCTCTTCTCCACTAAACAGTTATTGGTTATATTATGCACTGCATGAAGCAGCCTCTGGTCAAGATGCTGAAACAGGATTGAGGACAGAAAAAGGACTTCTAAGTCAGTGTTTAGCTTGCTAAGTCACAGACTGAAGCTCCTGATAGCACATGATTCTTCTGATCCCACATATCATCATCTTCTGTTGATTGCTAAAAGGGTCAGTCTCAACAGGAGTACAGAGTGCACCTAGCTCAAGGCCTGATGGTTAGGAAATAGGAAATGCAGGTTCAAAGTAGTTCAGGTTGGGGGGAACTTAGAACTTGAGTCTTCTACTGCTGGTGCCATTTCAGTGCCACTGCAGCAGCAGTACTGGTCCCTGTTGCAGTGGTGGCAGCAGCTGGTGTCCCACAGTGAGGTGAGCTGCTGTTGCTCTCCCAAGACTGGAGCACAACACAGTCTTTCATAAGTTGCCACCAACACTACTGTGACAGCAGTAATCCCCAGGCTCCTTCCCACTGGCCAGCCAGTAGTCCCCCTGGCTCGGTGAAGAGAGCTACAGCCCTCAAACCTGGCCCTCTGCGTGCTCCCTAGCGGATACAGAAGTGAACCAAAAGTACTTCCAGGTTCAGCGCCGAGCATGTGGAGCCCCCCCTCCCTGCCCCCCACTCCTGTTGGATGCTCCATGCGCCCCAGCATCACAGTGTTCATAAGCCACACCAGTACCTTGAGGTAGTTAGAAAAAACATTTAAAGCTGTGTCTGTGTCTGAATTGCTAATTCTCCAAATCAGCATTGAATCTTCAAATTCAGATTTGGCCAAATTGAATCAGGGACAGTGATCAGAATCAACAAATCGAATCACTGTCCCTGATTCGGGCTGAATCTGAGTCTGAATTGAATAGGGCCTGCTTTGCACACCCCTAATGCTAGGTAAGCAAGAGACATTACATGTGGTGCTACAAAATGCGGTGCTACAGACATGGTCCTATTTCAAACAAGAACCTTTCTGTAGGGCTTGAGCCATTTGTGTAGTACTACAGGAGGTACTCATGCCAGTCCCCTCAACTTTTGTACCACTTTAAAGGTAAGGTCTGTTTAGTCACGTGTTACAGATTCTACTGTTGATAGGTCTCCTTGGAAGAGTGTTAGCTTAGAATGAGAACCAAATGAGATGTTGCTCTTTGCTAATAAACAACCACATTGAATAAAACTTTAAAGTCATTATTTTTTCCTAACATGTTCACCTTGTACCATTTTCTGTTTCATCCTCAGCTTCTGATAAGCAGAATTCAGAGGTTGACAAAAGCTGTCAAGTGGTAAAATCACTATTAAACCTGGTGAAAGCTTAGAGTTGAATGTTCTATATCCTCTTAGCATCATATGAGGCATCCAGTCTCATCCAAATCAAAGCTTTTTCTAATATTTGTATATGATGAGATGTTTGTCTGTAGATTTCAGAAAGATCAATCAGTTTCCAGTATATCACTGAATAAAAGACATAACTGAACAGCAGGAAGGAAGACAGAAAGATGACATCAACTTCAATATGCAGTATGTATACTGGGAGCACCAGAAGAAAATATGAACTACAGCCTCCTTCATTCAATTAAGCAAGTGTCTTTGCTTATTTGGAGTTTGATGTACTATACTGTGTGTAACACTAATACCATAAAAGCTTCTCTCGATTTAAAAGGCACCTTACATTTTTTCCAGACTCAAAAAAAGCACTGTACAGCATACTGTCTTGTCTAAATGAATTTAGTATTTATTTTGTAGCTTTTAAATTGATACTATTTACAATAGGTCTTAGAGTACAGGTCACATTCAGTAATTAAGCTCTGGCAGTATTGAAGGTAGATCACTAACATGTTTGCAAATTATATTTCTAAGTCATAAAAAAGAAAAGAACAATGACAGTAAAATAAATGTTTATCTTTAGTTATAAGTATCACAGGACAAGTTTGCAAATGGCTGTAAAATCCGGTCAAGGAACGCTCCTCAGAAAGCATCCTACTATGCTTGTGTGTTGAGTGCTGAGATGAAGAATGTTTCAGGAACATAAGCAAAGGAATTCCATGTTAAGTATGGAAAGTTTAGCAGTTCACTTGTTCACAATAACTTTCTTGCAAAAGCTTGATGCTAGTTAATGGCCCCATTCCTCTTCTCTTTCACTGACTCCCTCTTCTTCCTCCGGGAACACTGACTTATTCTGACTTTTTAGATGCTTAATCCCTGAAAATATAAAGATCATAGTTAAAGTCACATATACTCAAATCAGACTACATGTTATTTGCTGTCCAAAGGAAAAATAAATAATCCATGGAATGATTAAAAATGAAAGGCCACCATGGAGAGTCCAAACCCCGCTTTCTTGGTTCACATTGTAGGAATGTGCAAGATAAAAAGAGGATGGACAATAGTACACACAAAGGACAGAGAAATGAGACCAAAAAAGGCAATTAATGTGGCATTTAACAAAACAGACATCTTTAGAAAGAACAATTGAATAAGTTTAATTAGTTTCTAACTCACTTGTCTTTCAGATATAAAAGTAATAATCACAGATGACATGATCTGGGCAGCAATTCAAAGGATAATATATTTGCTTGATTTTTTTCCCTCAGCGGTTTCTCTAATGGCACATGTATTTTTTTCAGTATTAGTCAGAAACACTTTTACTTGCTAAATCCTTATTCAAAAAAGTTCTTAATTTATAGATCCATTCTTCTATTTACCAGAGATGAAATCCAGCTCAGCATTGCAACACAACCATGCCTGAGTTTTTTAGACATCCCATTATTACAAGATTCTTAAAGACAAAGACTTTGGATTGTGGGTATCTCAACTTTTAGACATGTCTTAAGATATCTCATATTCAAAAATACTGAGCAGCTACCATGAAAATCAGGCCACTTTTAAATGCCTCATTTAGGGCACAAAAAATGGGAGCTTCCCAAGAAACACTAGACATTTTTAAGAGTTTGGTTAATATACTTTAAAGACTTGATGAATTATAATGAATTCCATCAAAGCAAGCCCACCATAGGTTTAAATTAATGTTTGTCACACAATATCCAAAGTAGAAGTTTCATACTGAAACATTATACTTGGTAATCTGAGGTTCAAAAAGACTGAAGTTTTAATCTGAAGTCTTTATATATAAAGAACTGTACTTTTTCAGGATGAGGAAGGAATTTTTTTAGCAAGATAAAGCATGTGCTCCTAACATCATTGTCCAAGATACCGAAATTGAGAGAGGTCAGCTCACTATGTAGCATGACAGGAAGCAGGGTTGTTGGGATCATGCATCAGATCCTATGGCACCCTTAATTGAATATCTGCCAGAGGCCTCCCAGAAACCTGAGGAAGGGTGCAGTGTTACCGAAAAACTTGGATAAATCTGTTTCAACAAAAGTAGCTGGTCCAATAAAAGTTATCCCCCACAAATAGTCCCTGGACCATCACAGTTACAGCATCACTTCAATATTACCATTGCAGAGCTGTGTCATTTCAGTGAAAGTCTGTTTAGAAAGAAAAAAGTTTAAAAGCATTTCAGTATAATTGAAACATTATGTCCCAACCTCATTTGTATGGAATGTGTTGATTTTCCTTTTTGTATTATTTTATAATACTTTTAAAGTCAAAATAAGAACAAAATAACTAGTTTAATCTAGAAATGTTTAAATCTTCTGTTTGAAATTCTAGTTTCTTTGCTTTTGCTCCATTTTGGGAAACATAATATTTTAAATTTGGGGGCATTTGCTGCAAAACAAATCATTTGTCTTGATAATTCTTTTATAGTGTGGCATGAAATCAAGCAATTCCATCTTATTATTACAATTTCATTTTTTTCCTGAAAAGCAAGAATAACACAGTATGGTTTTCATGAAGATTAGGCAGTTAAGGTACATCCCAAACTTAGTCTGTTGCAAGAACTCAGGAGAAAGGATGAAACAATCATTTCTACTCTTAATATATAATCATTCTAATCTTAATAGCCAGGTTCTGGTCACATTCATATTGGTACAATCAATCCCTGAATCAATCTGAATCAATCTCTTAATTTCAGTAGACTGAGTCAGGTGCAACTGAGATTATACTCTCTTCAATGGCCGTTAATCTGACACTGTCATTAACCTGATACTACAGTTTCAAAACAAACAATTTCAGTTTAAGACAGACATTTAGTGTGAAAAAAATAGCAAAAAATGGTTCAAGTTTTCCAACATTATAATCAACTACAAAAGTTGTTTTATAATGGGAAATGCCATGCAACCTTATTAATAAGCAGTTCTGCCAACTTCAACTATAATTATAAACAGTCAGTGCTCCATGCTATTATGATCTTTCCAACTATTGCCAAAAATGACAGCACCCAAACCATTGCCCTTTCATCAGAACAGTACTTAGAACTGTACCACATCAATCTATTGATTTCAGCCAAGCTCTACTTTATCCAGAATACTTAAATTACTTACATCAGACTGCATGGGAACTAAAGAAATATGTGGGTGCCCAGACACTACAGAAATAAGCACTTCCATTAGATAATCAGTTTTGTTCTAATTTAACTCAAATGTAGGTTAATGAGCATTAATTTCAAAACAATGTTATGCTTGTTCTGCAAATTCATCTCCTATTGTTTCTCTCTGGACCCATGATGCTGTTTATTGCTTACTTGCTGTACTCACATAAGAGATACTATGCAAAAGCCTAATAAAAAAATACTTGGAGGAAGAATATATAGCTGTTCAGCTGCTTATTTTTAAAAGATGAGACAATGAGAGCTATGGACAAAAAATGAGGGAGTAGGACATAATATTAATAAAAGCCAGGTACAAGAGATAGCTTGGCAAGAGTGAAGTCTATTAGCAATATGGCTCATTTACAACATTTCAATTTACAAATCCCAGTGCAAATTGAGAGGAATGATATTGAATGAGAATTCTTCACTGAATTTATATTGCATGAAAAACTTAAGATCCTCATATGGTAAGAAAACTACTGATCTTATGTAATGACCTCCATAACCTCAGTGCTACTGCCTGCTGTTATTCCTCTGCCAGTCTTTTCATAATGTAATTCAATTTCACACAATAAAATGTTATAGGCTTCCATGTATTGTAATGCATAAGACACATAAGACACACAATATAATTATTTATAAGCTTAAATATATTGCTTTGCAACTTTCTAAAATGAAATAACCTTGTAAAATGTTTTGGGCTGAATCACATGGCTAGACTTTAAAAAAATTAGTGTAAGGGGATGTGCAGATAATGAAATACTCAATGACAACATCTAAGCATATTTAGAAAAAAGCTGTATCCTGCTTAAAAAATTATATTGTATTCAGTGGAAGTCAGATTGTCTTAGTGTAAACAGAATCCATCTAATACACAATGCCCAGCTTACAACTGGCTACTAAAAATAATTTTAGCTTTCAGAAGTTCTTAAAGAAGGAGAAAATAAAACATGATGGACATTGTCAGCTTAAGACTGTGCAGATAATAGATGTATTGATTCAGATATAGAATTGAAAAAATAGAAAAGTATTCATTTCAATTTTAAAAAATTATTTTCTCATCAAAATAGAAAATGTTGTTTCATTCAACAAAAAAGCATTCTATCCCATTATAAGCAAGGCCATAGCCTAATTAGTATGTCCTTCTAGCCTACTGGCTGGAACTGAGGTGTCTCTTGGTTCCCCTTTAACAATGCACTTCTACATCTATGTCTTAGTAAGGATAGGGACGTACAAAAAGTGGTCTTACTCCTTTTTCTAATTCAATTTGTATCTCTTTTTTGGTACATCCCAGATCCCACTCTGAATGGACCCATGGTCCGTCCCTAGGCAAGGGGGCTTCCTTTTCTAGGGCCATCACCCTCCAGTGGGGGCCATCTATAATGCAGTGACTCAAAACATTGGTTCCCGATATCCACAATGGGAGTTGGGTAGCGGTCACTACTGTGGGGACCTCCCGCTTCCCTAATTTTACCATGCCTTTTATTTCCCATCCTTTAACCGCTCCTTCCCCACCCCTTTAAGCACCACCGGACATCCATTCGGTGGGGGGGGTATTCCCATTGGAATATCGTAACCTCCGCCCCCTGTATCCATCAGAAACCATTCTTCCACCTCGCCTCCTTCAATCTAAATATGGGCAAAAAGGTACCCCCTTAGAGTCCCCGGGGATTTGTCCCACTGGAAGCGAGGAGGGGGTGTCCCTTGCTTCCCCTCCCTGGGCCCCCCCTAATCTATGTGCAAATTTTTCAGATCAGGGTAGAGCCCCACTGTGGTCTTGGGCTCTCCTTCCGGAGGTGCTGAGGGAACAGCCGCCATCGCGTGGCAATCTTTAGTTGTCCCCCCCAATTTGTCATCTTTCCACAACTGATACAACTCACTTGTGGGCTTTCCATCAATCTTGTATGGGGATTCCTCTCTCCCTCAGCTCCTTCCAGAGTTGACAGCAGGGGATGTTTTTCTTCAGATCGGTTGGCAACCCCCTTACTACCACCACTTGTTTCAATTTTGGGTGCTCCCCTGTCAAATTAATCAGGGTCTGCAGTCCTTTTATAATTTCTGCCAGGGGACGATTTGTCCAGGCATCATAGCGTTGCATCAGAATACCCTGTAAGGTACCAGATCCCTTATGAAGGGTACTCTCCCTAGCAGCCCCAGTAACTACAACCTGTAGGGTGTCTGCATCCAAGGTCCCTCCCAAGGCCGCCTCGATAAATACATCCCCACTTAACTGCCATACTGCCCCCGGCCAATCTATCCATTTAGGCTCTCTAGCAGGCCAGTCCTTGGTCAATTCCCAAGCTTCCAAGGTCCCTAGTGCAATGCCCATTAATTGGTAAACATAAAACCCTGAGACCTTTGGGTCTATCTTCTGACTGTCCTGTGCTGATTTATACCATTCCCCTGGGAAGATTTTGATTAACACAGTTACCGCCTCTCAGGGAGTGAAATATTTATCTGGTCCCTGGGCCATTACCCTATTGGCCCAGGAGGCCCAGGTCTCTTTTGGGTCCTTTACCCAGGCTGCCAGTTCAACCTGGAAATCTGCGAGCTTCCATGGGACCACCTCCCAGTCCTGTAGGGTGAACCCAGGGCCCTCTTGATTTGCTTGATACCTAGGCTTCATAACTGCACTTACCTCCAACTCCACAGGAGGGAGTTTACTCTCCAGGGGGGCCATCTCCTCCTCCACTCCCGAAGTGGGCGG